TATAACATTGGTTTAAAACAGCATTAACCTTGACTAAAAATAAAATTCTGTTATCATATAATAGATTTCTGATAGGTATAAGATAAGAGATGTATATAGTTCAAAGAGAATTACATTTAGTGATTTAGCATTGTAATGTTTAGGAAATGATGATTCATTATGTGCAGCAAGTGAAATAATAAAAAGTTGAGCTTTTTAATTCCAACACATTCTTTTTATTAGTAGGATTTCCCACTCAATATTGAAGTATGTATCCTTGAAAGTTATATAGGTAGTGACTTTTTGTTTAGTTTTATTACTCTTTGACTGTGGACCTTGAAAAAGGTGAAAATCATAGATTTAAGGGTTTCAAACTTTTAATCTAGCAGTTTTAGATGAATGAATTTCCAAAATGGCAAGACTTCTTTTTGAACCCCTTTATGTATATCTTTGCCTATTCCTTAAATAAGAGGGGGGTGGGAAAGGACTTCCATTTTATGTTGAAAAGATATCCAGGTAGGTAATAGAATTGTTATAGTTTTTGAATAAAAAAATAAAGGTTAAGAAACAGTAATCATCACTTTTAACATATAGTGAAAATATGCATTAATATATCAAAACGATATTCTGCCAAACATTTCCTTCACCAATTAGCTTAAGATTCGATTAACAGATTTTTCTATGTAACTGAACCTTGCTCACATTAACACACCATGATATAATCAGTTTGAATTATAAATTGATTAAAGTAACTATTTTTAAAATGAGGTTACGTCACGTTTAATACCTTTTATGCCCTCTGTGATATTCAATTAATTGCCTGATAATTGTGTATTGAAGAATGTCAATAATTCAATGAGAATGTTTGATTATGTTCCTGATTGCAATTTAATGTAAGATCATAAAAACAATAATTTATGACATTCAGTGTGTTCCTAAGTAGCTTTATTGAGATATTTTATTAAGAGAAAGGCTGACTGAAAGATAACTATTGAAACTAACTTTTATTGAAAAATAATAATGTTTCTTCCTGTCCTTTGCAATAAGTCTGAAATTTGCTACTGTGCAGTCTAATGAATAGGGTTAGTCATTATTACTACCAGCTGTTTTGTTAACGTTTTAAAACTGAAAGTAATTTGTAACCTGTTGGAAATGTTTAAAATGCTTCAGGAAGTACTGAACTTTTAAGAAAAGGCTATTATAAGGTTTGAAACCATTTTAAAACATGCATTCAGGCTTTTCACAGAAAAAAAAAGGAAAAAATCCATGTAAACTTTCAAAATTTTGAAAATTTGCCCCATTAAAGGGTCTTTTTGCCTTACCTCCAGTGGCAAATATTGCATGGAAATCTATGATGAGAACAAATTAACAGTTAATGGTAAAGATGGGTTCTACAAATTGAGTGATTTATTTTGACTTCCTCTTGAAACTGATGGTATTTTGGATAGGGGCAGACATTTTACTTTGTAAGAGGCCACCCACAGACCCCTCAAGGAGTTGTAGCAAGAGATTTTAAGAGCTTGGCACTTTCCTACACATTAAGGCATCAGATTAAAGGCCCCTACTATTCTGATGGGACTGCTCATTTATACATTTCACACAGCCAAATTGATCCCCCTCTTTGTCATGTGCTTTACTGCTGGATGAAAGAAATCCTGTGGGATGACTAAACATGTTACATGTATTTCTATACCCCAGTCTATCCTTAGGGTGTGGTATGAAAACAATATTGAAATCAAATTGAGATATATATATAAAATATTTAATTAGCCATTTATGATCTGCAAGCAATTATTATATGTGACCATCTGATAAGATAAGGTTATGATAGTCTGTTGGTTCTATATGTTGCCCATATAACTCTACAATATATCTGATCAAGACTGCTATCAATCACTCATTATTAAATGAAGTAATTCTAATTTTTGTCATTGCAAGTTTATAAGTGGAATATATAATCAGATTTCTTATTCTATATGGGGAGGTCAGAATCAGTTCAGATAAGGGCTATTGTTGGAGGGTCAGAATTGGGGAAATTTTATTTTTCATACATAGGTCATAGGTTATATATAGTTATTTGTACATTTCATGTGTGCTTAATTGCTCAAAGAAAGAAAGTTGCTTTTCATGTGATGTAAGAAGTCTCTTCCAATCTTCCTTTAACCGTTTTAATGGAATAGCCCTTAAAATCTTGAGACCTTGAATAGAGTATTGATTCAGACAACTTATTTACATTTAGATAATCAAGTATAAAAGTTGGTTACTGTTGACTGTTAGACTCCATGTTTATTATGCAGACGGCATTGCATTATTGTGTTTTTCAATTAATTTCTCAGAAAATACCATAAACTTTGATTGATATGTTTAGATGAATAGTTTATTTTGAAAATTATTTGATACCAGCAGAACTGTTAAGAGGTATAGATGTCTGTTAAGCAAGAGCACTACAACTATTTAAATACAGAGACAGTCTCGGACATAAGCATCATAGTAATTGGGCAACTGTAACTATGTAACTTGTCCTAAATATGAATGAAATAATTGCCACTGGACTTTAAGCAAGCATCAATCGATCTCAGTATGTAACAGAGTTTGTGAAAAACAATTGTCCTACTGTCAAAATCAATATAAATGTCACTAAAGTTGTTCACCTAAGAAAATAAATCTCAATATCTGATAAATATTTAAAATTTTTGGTTGTATAATTATTGATTGTCCATTCAAATTTTGTTTGGACTAGTAAATGAAAATAATGTTCCATGAACAATCAAGCACTTTTGCTAACTCAGGTCATAGTGGAATAAATTTTCTTCCAAAATTCATCAATGTGCTGGTATACCAATGGTCACAGCAAGCATTACTACCATGATGCAACTACGTACATGTAACTAAACTAATTCTGTCATCACAGCTGTCATGGCTGTCAGATACAGATCCAGGATTTTGATAAAGAGGGAGCAACAAACTAGACAAACTAAGGAGTAGAACAAGTAAAGCTTAATTCATAAGGGGGAGGGGGCTGTTTTCCCTGCCCCCCACCACCCTCCCCCCAAAAAAAATCCCATGGCTGTTAATGGATGGTTATGGTTATGTATATATAGTAAATAATATTTTTAGTCGATGAATGGCAAAAGAGATGAGTGGAGGGGGTAACTTTGACTGTTTAAGGAATGACCAGTGAAAATGAATTTAATCCCCTATTGACCATTAGAATTTCTCCTAGAACTAACTTTTCGCCCACAAAAAAAATGTTCTTTCATGTTCCAGTCAAAAGTAATAAAAATATATGGATTCTAGGGTGGGAGTATCAACTATTTTCAGGCTGTCTGATATAAAATATGTATACTTCCAAATTAAGGCCTACTTGATTGTGTTAATCAGTAAACTAAATCAATTATGTGTGAAGTTTGTAGTATGGAAAGGGATATTAGTTCCAGAGATTGATGTTTAATGGGGAAAACTTTGTATGCTTCGGTTTATTAGATGACAGATAATGAGATTTGATAAAGGTTAACTATATGAAAAATAATTAAATATTGTACAGTTTCGGCCACTTTAGATGAGATGTCTCAAAGTTGATGTAATCAAGTTTGAACATTATGATTGACTCACTAATTAATTTTTTTTTCTTGTGGGAGGGGAAGCATATATGGGATGCACCATGTATGTACAGAAATTTCCTAAGAGCAACGTTGTCCAAAACTCTCTCGAAACTTAACACAATTATATTTTGTCACATGAAACAAGGAAAGAGTACATTGAGGATGTAGACTTTTTTTTTTAGAGATATTCATCTCCTCTTGAAACAACTTTTTAAAACCAATTGTGTATGGTAGTATAGAGTTCAACTTCCTATTTCATTTATAAATCACTTAAGTTTTGAGTGGTTTTCATATCCAAACAGTGATTACGTATGGTTTAATGCAAGCCTTTTACAGTTTTTATCCTCAGCTCTTATCCAAAATTAGTACAAACTCGTATTAAATGAAAAGAGTTATTTGCACATCCATTTTCAAGTTCACCACAATTTTATGCATATCTTTAAACCAAACAAAATATACACCTGTTTCCTGCCTCCTGGCAGAAAAAAATAGGGTAGATAGGTGGTTAATGATTTTATTTTTTTTTCTAATATTATTCATAGACTATTTTAAGGAAAGATCAGTCCTTAACCAAAAATGTAAATAATATGTGTTAGGGAAGGCATTAACATTTAGGGTAGGTAGGGAGGCAGGAAACAAAAGTTAATTTTTATTTAGCCTAAGCCAAAACATGGACTTTGTCATTTGTTACAGCTTTGAAAGGTAATTGATATTTCTTCAACAGAAAATCACATTAGCATTTGTAACGATTTTTTTTTATGAGTCTATTTTTTTGTTGTGTCATTTTGTCATCTATTGGATGTTTTATTGGATTACTATTGGTTTGTATTGAACTTCCTGGATTAGATGTCAGACCATATGCTGTGCAGGATCAGATAACGATTTGAAATTTGCTCTACTCTATGGATATGTTGTTAGAATGTCAGATCTTGTCTGACATTGTCTAGATAAAATTTCACCAATTTTCATCAAACAGTGTACAAAATGTATATGGTATTCAGGCTTATATGAATGTTTTGTATTACAGAATCATTTGTTGCTGTAAAACTGATATTAGTAAAATGCTGAATTTGATTTGATTATTTATTGTAGCAAATGGGCAGATATGTTGTTAATCCTATTACTCTAAAATTTCTTTTGTAAAAACAAAATCAAAAATCTAAAAGCAAGCAAACATACAACAATAAACATTATGCGCAATATTGTAGGGCTATTGACTATGTATATTGGTTTTTGTGAAATCGTTCATGTTTTAATCATAAGAGTTTTCAGTTTAGACCTGTAATCCATGACATTTGCTTTCATGTATAACATGTGGACAGGGAATTATAACAGATATATGTGATCACTTTAAGATCAATTATACTTTCATGATCTTGTATGGGTTTTAGTCAATAACTTTTGTCTGTCTCTTTTCAGTATACAGACAAAAGACAATGACCAGAAAGATGAACAAATACTGCCAAAGATTAGTATAGTACAGTCCCTTGTGTCACCTCCTGGTACACACCCATCACCTGGACAGTCCATGTCATTTACTCCTGACAGAGATAGACTGTTACCACGGAAATACAGCCTCATTCAAGAGGAATCAGAAGATTATGACGATGATGACATGGAAGTTGAAGAAGTAGATATACATCACGCTAGATCGGCTGAAAACTTACTTGATGAATCAAGTTTTCGGCCAGAGGTATTATCACCCGTTGCTTATGAAAATATGAACTTAAAGAGACCACTGATTTCCGTTGCTAGCTCACCTCAGTTATTAAAACAGATCTGTGAAGAAAATGAATCAGATGAAGAAGATGATTTTGTTCCATCCAAGATTCATTCGCCACGAATGAAAAATAGATCTCGATGTGCATCTCCGGAAATGATTAGAAAATATGAACAACGTAGAAGAAAAGGTGCAGGGTCAAGAGGTCATAGTTGTAGTAGTTCTGATGCTAGTGATACTGATGACACTGAAGGACGATCAAGAAAGGACAAATTGAAACATAAGTTCATGCATCGTCGTAGAGACAGTAGTGATCATTCCAGTGATACTGACGGTGGGCCCTCTGGACCAGGGGGAGGTAATCTAGGAGGAGGAAGTGGTTTTGATGGTGGACATGGTCGTCCACCCAAAGAGAGAAAGGACAGAGATCATAAAGACGATGGCGGAGGAAGTGGAAAAGGAAGCGGGTCAAAGGACAATAAAAGTGGAAAAACTCGCCAGCAGAATCATTTAGTCAATAATGACTTGAATGGACGATTCGTCAACGGGAGAACGAGTGAATTGAGTATATCGTCAGCAATATCTAACTTGAGTGTAGGTAGTAAAAATAGTTTAAAATACATTGTTGAGAAGAATGAAAGTGATATAGAAGACAACTGTAGTTCTAATGACTGTTGTTCATATTCTGGAAGCTCACGGCAGAGTAGTCAGAACCCTGTAATATGTGATTTTCATTCGTTAACCAACTCTCCTCATAAAGACTTCTTTAGGTTAGCTGATAAAGAGAATTTGTCTCAATCTAATACTCTGATATCATCCTCCGTCTGTTCCCCAAAGGTCAAAAGTCGAAAATTGAACAACATGAAAGTGGATATAAATCGTAATGGCTACTGCCATGTACACCATAGTCAACAAGTTCAAACAGTCAAAGCTGATACTAAATGTTGCTCTGTTGTTTAATGAACAATCATTCTAGTATACTCGCTACTCTGATTACTTTTTATGATATGTAGATTACTCTTTGTATTTTCATTGTGAAAAATTACATAAAAAGTCAGAATTTTTACATAAGGCAAGATTGAGGAAAATATTTTAGTGTGAATTTTACTCTTTTTTTTAGATTTGTTATTCTTTTCTCATATATTCTTTTCCTCTGTTAGAAAGATGTTCTGTTCTTATTTATTCTGTTAAATTGTACTAAGTTTCAGTATTAATGTAAATGATTTTAAACCTTGAATTGTACTTTCTGCAAATTTGTACTAAAAAATTGTTTTAATCTTGTAAATTTTCAGGTAAATTTGATGGCATCTTGATAAATTCTTGGGTTGAAACTTTGCTAATGGGTCACACACTTGCTCATTAAAATTTAACACATAAATGTAAGCCTGTTTTGTAAAGGCTATTTCTGTAGTGTGAAACTCACATTCTATTGATTTACAGTAAGACAGTAGATAACGCATGCACTTTATGTGTTTATGAAAGTTTTTACAGATTTTTTTTTTTACAAGATCTTTATACCTCTGCATAGAGTTTTTGACTACATAATGACCAGAGAATTAGATTTTGAATAATGAGAAATAAAATATTTAAACTTTTATTTTAATTCAAAGCATTTACAGTTCAATTTTGACACTTTTTGATTACCAATATTTACTTCTAGTTTGTTAGTGTTAAAAATGTTTACTGCTTAATTACCAAAAACAATTAATTGTGATTTTCACAAACTCATATCAGGACCCCCATCTTTTCTGTCAATGTTCTTTTAAGTTATTTCTGGTTGGAAATTTTTTTTATCGAAATTTTATTTTTCAAACAACTACATTGTTTTATTGTTTCTTATCAATAACATTTCATATTTCCCTTACAGATTTCACTAGTTCTAGTAAGCATTCATATTTATACAACCTAAAACTGAACATTAATTATGTTGTTGCCATGGTATTTAACTTCCTGTTTCACTCCTTTTGATATTAAAATCGCAGGTAACGACTGACAATAATTTTCACTTTGATTACAGAAATAAATCGTCGTTGGCATTTAACTAAAAATAAATACTGTGACAGCATGTTTTTAATCACTAAGCGAGAACCAAAATCAATTTGTTTTTTTAAAGAAACAATCAAAACATCATCCTCAGACTTCTTGATGATCATACAGAAACTTGAAAAACACACTCATATTAATCACATATTTTTTAATCATAAAAATGGCAAATAAGTTGTATAGGATCTGGCAGTCTGTCTGTCTGTCTGTCATCATTTAGTTGTAATCATAGTCCAAAACAAATATTTCAATGTTTGGTTTTGGAGAAAATTCTGCAAATTTCCTTACAATTTCCCTTTTTTTCTTCTTCCATAATTTGAATATGTTCTTTTAAAATTTAAATTGGAAAGTTTACTTTTGAACCTGCTTTAAAGGTCACTTTTATTAAGCAAACCTGTCTTGTCCAGTCTTCTCTCTTACATGATCACTTTTCTCTGTTCCCAATAGTGACCTTTATATACAGGTGTGTGTGTACTTTAAAGGTTAATTTGTAATTTTCCTAAAGTTTGTGTGGTAGGACCACAATGCATTAGTTTTTACCTTCCATCTGTGAAATACTAGATTAATTAATCATTTTATATAAAATAAATTGTACATGTTCAGCCATCTTTTTGATTTAAAGATCACCACTCTTGAAGTCCTTCATTTACTGAAATAATACATTGTACTGTGCATTGTTGGTCAAAGAGAGCTCTATATAAAGTCTATATATGAACAAATAAGTAAATATTGAAGCCTGAAAACATCATTCAAATGATAAGGAAACTATTTCATTAATTCATGTTTTTCTAATGATTTTTAAAGTACTCTCCTTGGGGAAAGAAATATTTGATTTGTTAAAAAGGATGTTTTTGAATTCTTTTTGCGTATTATCAATTGAATGTTATTTCAGATTGTCCTTTATAGTAATGGTCAAGCAAATTTCATGTCAGGTTATGTACGGGTTGATCTTTATATTAGGTAAATTGTCATAATTAGTAAAAATTAATCATGTCTTTCTTGAAAGAAGGAGAAGAAGAAAGTTATACAATTTGTAAAATACAAAACATAGGTTTATTATAACTAATTATACTTATAATTGATACATTACAAAATTTTAAAGAATTTGGTTCAAAGGAAAGGTTAGGTATATACGTTGGAACTCAACAAAATTATTTTATTTTGGTTACCGGAATATATGTATTGGAAAAAATGATCTAAAAAGTATAAAAACAAGAAACTTATTCAATATACATTTTTCAGATAAGTATAATTAAGATTAGAACTTAAAAAAAAATATTTAGACTTCTGAATCAGCTGACTATTCATAGTTTTATTATAGAGGCAAGGAAGATAACCCAAAGATGTTCAAGAATTTTATTTGCCAAGTAGATTTAATTCTAAACACAATTCTTGAAAGGTTGGATGAAAAAAAAAACACTCAGATGATCCCCATGTACTATTGCTTCTACAACCAATAAAAACTGGCCGCCATGTTATTAAAAGTGGCATTAAAAGGACAACAAACAAATAAAAAATCCAAACAAAAATGATTTTTAATTCTGCATATGGGTAATATGAAATATTAGCTGCTTGAGACAACTTGAACCTTTTATCTCATTGGCTGTGTTCACTCTCTAACAAGCTTTTTATTGGAACTTGCAGCTAATAATTTACACTATCTGTAGAAAACCTGATAATTTATACTTTTATTTTATGGAACATGTTTTACATGATAGTGCTTATTGTCTATGTATATATATACAAACACACTTTTTTAATCATAAGTAATGATTGATTTTCTTCATTATTGCTTTGACAATCCAAAGTGATACCAATGGCAAAATATAGATGTATTTGATGATTAATCTAAAAGTCAGATATTGAATAAGATATCTTTCATCTGTTAGCCGATTTCAAATTCTGATTGTTCATGGAAAGTGCTATCCATGGTACTGAATTTAGTTCCATCTATAGTATTAATATATAATTATATATATATATATATATATATATCAGTGAGAGTTGTGTGACTGAATAGACTAGTAACCCCTTTGTCATAGCATAATAATACTGCATACTTGTACGTTACTCCGTATAAAATAGATTATATATAAAATTTATACTCGTCCTTGTAGCTGTAACCAAAAATAAGAATCTTATTTGATGAGAATGAGTCATTTTGTTACTTGATGAGAACAGACCATGTAAGAAGGCATGGTCACAGATATAAGTTAATCTAGAAAATAAGCAATATAACTTTAAATGACCTCTTTTATGTATATTTGTCAAATTCCTAAAATTCTATGAATAATTTGGTTTTGCTTATGTCATAAAGGGATTTTCTGGATAATATTGAATTAACATATTGAATATACATTATGATCTATTGTTAAGATATAACTGGTTGTGGAGTTGCAAATTAGAACAGAATATATATATCTTGTACATCATGTGAAATTAAAATTTTATTGTACATATACATATATACTATAATTAGAGGAGTATTTATGTTCCCACAGTATGTATAAAACCCCATTTTATTTATTTTTAACTTGTTTGTATTTGACGGACAAAATGACTCACTGTTTTTATTGTTTTATATTTTTTTGGATTGTACATATGTTTTTTTTTTATGTTAATAGAATTTTAGTCTATTTTTACTGCCAGTAGTCATATATATGTTCATATATAATGTAATTTTGCTTTTTTGTTAATCCGGTTCACTATTAGTAGTAGCACTTTGTTATATACATGTATCTTAAAAAACATTTTACTAACTATCGTCTTAGCATACCTTGGCATCTACACATGTCATTTTTTAAAGATATAAAATTATTATAATCAAAGTACAAAGAAAATCATTTTAAGTATGATTTACATTTTTTATGTTCATCAGTCTGCTTGTAAAAATACAGTTTATCTTTTGTTAGAATAGTAATTTGTAATTTGGCAAAGGTTATTCCATGCCAGAATTAATTATATTGGATTTAAAATATAGGATAGTCACTAGTGGCGTTCAAAACAAGTTTTCACATTTTCACACAAAAACACATTTAATTTCTAATTAAAATTGTATGGGTGGGGGTCATGGCAAAATAAGTACCTTCCAACCCCATAAAACAAATGTAAGATATTTCAGTTATATATCCTCTTATTGATAAACTTACATCTTTTACATTTAATTCATTAATTATGACCTATATTTTATGATTGAATGATTTTAAGTTTAATATATTCCCCTTATCTGGATCACCATGACCTACTTTTACAAATTACTGTTCCAGAAACTAATGATTTATGAGTAATCATGAACGCAGAGTATCTGTGTCATGGAGACAAATTCCCTCGTTTAAAACAAATTTCATGAAGGAATAAGAAAAAAAATTTTGGTCACTTTTTATATATAAATGTCTAATATTAACTACTTAGAACAATACATTTTTGTGGATGAAGTGATATTTGTGAGACATTAAAAAGTTGTTGATAATATCAGCACTAAATAAGTAACCTCAAACAAATGCCATGACAATTCTATGCTTAACAGTGATATATCAATCATTTTTGAGTTATTCAGGGATAATTTCATTTCATTGTAAGATAAGACATTTACATTGTATATATCATACAGAACTGAAGTGATTTCAGATACTCTTTAAAACAGTGTTTTTTAAGTTTTCATTTATTTTACTCCTTGTGAATTTCCTGACGATATAATAATGTTTCGACCCACTTTTCTGTAAGTCCATATCAATAGAAATTTTTATAACCCAGAAATAATTCCTTTTCATATTGCCTCTTTCATTGTGAACAAGTTCTCTTTAAGAATGTTGTTGATAATAAGTGTTCTCAGTAAAGTGATATTTTGATTATAACCTGACTAGATATGGTTTTGATAGTCATACTAAAGAAGTAGAACAGGTTCAACGAGAATAACAGCAATTTAATTAAAAGAACAGTTCCTTTGAGAAATTGGTAAAAGTTTTTTGTGTCTTGCGTTCATAAATTCTACTTTTTTGTTTTCCAAAAAGTTACCCTTAAAATATATTTTCCAGTATAAAGTAAATGACTTTTGTCCCATTATTTTTTTCCAAGATAAGATTAGAACCTAAATTTAGGATAGATTCTATCAAAGCTTGAAGTCAATGGTGTTTTTATTAGGCAGAGCTTTCTTTGGAGACTAAAAAATCTAAAGATTCTGTGTACACTGTTATGTTTTGTCAGTGGAAAATGTATCATATGTATATGTTATAGTAGGGAATATTGGATGTTTAGAGCTGGTCTCTTCAAGATGTATCTATATTAAAAAACATCCATTACAACCAAAACTATATAGTTGTCAACACATTTTCTTGCAAGTGGTCAATTTTGTTTTAATTTCATCAGTAGCTGTTGAATCTAACATTGCTCAAGTGGATGTAACTTGCGTAAATTTCTAGGTTACACCAGAAGCAAACTAATTTTTGATTTACATTAGCAATAGTTATTCCATTAAATTATTTTTTGAATAGCTCTCGGTAATTAAAATTGAATTGGCCAGATGTTAGAAAATTGGTGAACAGTTGTATGATTTATGGTTTAAATAGATAGTAAGCTTTATGTAGAATATGTATCATTCATTTAATCATTCATTGTCATCTGAGTATTACTTTATTAATTTGACCTGGCTGTGTGTGGAATGAATGACTTTGTCATAAAGGTATTCTATTGAAGGGTGCCCTACACTTTGAAAATAGATCTAAAATAGATTTGGCTCATTTAATTTTCATAAAATCATGATAGAATATTTACTTTGATCTATTGAAAATATAAAAATTTCAAGAAATTTGAACCACATAATTTACAGGAATAATTTTGTTGGATGTATAGCAGTTTGACAAACAACAATTTTGATCATTGAGAAGCCTCAAAATGTTCCATATTTTTTTCTTCAGTTTTGTAGAATTATTTAAATCTTGTGTGTTATTGTATTAGATATTTGATCATTACACAAGAAATTGGGAAAAGATAGTTTATTTTCTGAAAGTAAACACAATTTAGCAGTAGCCAGGAGTATTTTATGCATAGCAATAACAATTGTAATGGTATTTAATTAAAGTAGTGGTATTTTCACTTTATACTTCATAGCAGATAATGATTTTGTAATTCTTTTAATAACTTTTAAGTCTGTTCGTTATATGGTGGAATATCATCTTATAGTGTAGAGATCATGATACAATGGAGCATTTATATTCTTGTTTATGTATCAAATTTAAAGCAGATTTGCTCAAACTTTGTTCATATTTTTGAGTGCAACTGCCCAGATTTAATATTTTCTCAATAACTTTTTTTGAAAATTGATAGCAACCAAAATAAAATTGCCAATGGCAACTCATGGTTAATATCATTTAAATTACCTTTTAGGCGGTTTCCACAGATATCACATTTTATATAAACATTTTATATAAACATGGGTTAAGGGAGATAACTGTTGAAGTCTGTAATGAATTTGATATAGGCAGATTTATCAATGTGGTTTAAGAATTAATGTGATACAGAATTATCTGTTTTATCTTGGAAAATATTTTTGAAAAATGGTTGACACAAACGTTTATAGGATTTTTAAAGACTTAGGTCTACCAAAATCGATTACATCTAAAAAAATGCATGAAAATAAAAAGAATTTGAAGCATATTTTTACTAAATTCACCATTTAAATGCACATTTTGACTGAAGATAATCAGACAACTGCTATATATTAAATTTTAAATTGTGTGGGGAGGTGGATGTAGTAACTATATTAATTTATTTACATTTGTTTTGTTGGTGTGAATGAATATTTTTCAAAAAGATTTTGAAACACAAGTAACTGATGTATCTAGTTTGTCTTAAAAATGTCTCTTTGTGAAAAGTAATGCTCACAGGCTCATTCATTATTTCATATTTGTATCAATTTTCAAAGATTCTTAGGAGAAAAATGGTAAGAAATGTAATGCATTAATCCACTATCATTCTTTAAGAGAATCAAAATTCCATTTTTGCTTTTGGATTGTTTTAGATAAATATAAAAATACTGCCAAAATTTAATTTTTGTCGAGCCTTCGACTTTTGTCGAAAAAGCGAGACATAGCGATCCTACATTCCGTCGGCGTCGGCGGCGGCGTCCACAAATATTCACTCTGTGGTTAAAGTTTTTGAAATTTTAATAACTTTCTCAAACTATCCTGGATTTCTACCAAACTTGGACAGAAGCTTGTTTATGATCATAAGATAATATTCAAAAGTAAATTTTGTAAAAAAAGAATTCCATTTTTTCCATATTTTACTTATAAATGGACTTAGTTTTTCTGATAGGAAACATTACATTCACTCTGTGGTTAAAGTTTTTCAAATTTTAATAACTTTCTCAAACTATCCTAGATTTCTACCAAACTTGGACAGAAGCTTGTTTATGATCATAAGATAATATTCAAAAGTAAATTTTGTAAAAAAAAATTCCATTTTTTCCGTATTTTACTTATAAATGGACTTAGTTTTTCTGCCAGGAAACATTACATTCACTCTGTGGTTAAAGTTTTTGAAATTTTAATAACTTTCTTAAACTATCCTGGATTTCTACCAAACTTGGAAAGAAGCTTGTTTATGATCATAAGATAGTATCCAGAAGTAAATTTTGTAAAAAAAAATTCCATTTTTTCCGTATTTTACTTATAAATGGACTTAGTTTTTCTTCCAGTTAACATTACATTCACTCTGTGGTTAAAGTTTTTAAAATTTTAACAACTTTCTTAAACTATCTTGGATTTGTACCAAACTTGGACAGAAGCTTGTTTATGATCAAAAGCTAGTATCTAGAAGGAAATTTTTTTTAAATTTTGTTCCATTTTTTCCGTTTTTTACTTATAAATGGACTTAGTTTTTCTTCCAGTTAACATTACATACAGTCTGCAGTTTAAGTTTTTAAAACGTTTATTAGATTCATAAACTATCCTGGATTTTTACCAAACTTTGACAGAAGCTACTTACAATCAAAAGATAGTGTAGAGAGGAATATTTTTTATTAATTTTTTTCCTTATTTTTGTTGAGCCTGCGATTAACAGCAAAAGTAGGCGAGACACTGGGTTCCGCGGAACCCTTACGAATTTTTTATTGAAATAATGGTTAAAATTGGCATCTTGCACTTTAAAAAGATAATCATGTAGTCATATTATTGAGGCATTTTTAAGACATATTACAGCAATTTGTTACTGTAAAGGGAGTTAACTCAAGGTTATTAATTGTCACATCATCATACAAGAGGTACACATATGTACAAAGATATTAGTGTATATATATAATGGACATGTAACCACAATGTGGTTCTTGTTTAGCTTAGATTGCTTTGTCTATACCAACCTCAGTGCTCTATTTGTGTGTGAGAGGTGATCAGAATAAAATGTTTGAGAATGTGCTTGATATTTTGTTTTTGATTGGCTTAAAGATTGTATGAAATGCAATCAAAACAGTTATTGGACTGACTTATATAGCCCTATCCTCTAAGCCTCATCTCTTCCTTTGAAAGTTCAAACAACATAGTGGAGTATGGTGTTCATTCTTTATACCATATTCATGCCCATGTAAATTAATTGATTAATCAAATATACTCTGATACACATATATAAAAATAAGGAGATGTGGTATGATTGCCAATGAGACAATTATTCACCAATTTCAAATGAAGTGGATGTAAGCAATTATAGGCAACGATACAGCCTTCAACAATGAGAAAAACCCATACTGTATAGTCGGCTATAAAAGGCCCTGACATGAAAAATATGAAACAAGTCAATTGAGAAAACTAACTGCATAATTTTTAACAAAACAATTTACGAAAAACTACTATGACAGGCATGAACCAACGACAACTACTGAACTACAGGCTCCTGACTTGGGACGCGCATAAAATATGGTAATGTTAAACATGTTTGTGAGCGCCCAACCATCCCCATACCTGGAACATTGGTGTAACAGCTCAACATAAGAACAAACTATAAAAATCAGTTGAAAAAGGCTTAACTCATCAGATTAATACAAAGAAAAACATCAAACAAAAACACAGGACGTGGCAGGGTATATATCCATCCTCATCCCTAACAACAAAAAAGACACTTAAGTACAGATCTGAGAGTACTCACAGTTACTGACAGCTAGTTCAAAGCCAATAGCAACTAATAAAAAAATCATGTATCTAAGACTAAAATATCAATCAGTTCACATCCAACATCCAATGGATTTAGTGTGAAGACATCGTTAACAGTCAAGAGAAAAACATGATCTTGTGCAATGCCAAAATATAGGTATCAACAGATTGTAGTACCACTGGACGTTAAGCAACCAACAATCAATCAATCAGATTGTAGTAACGTGAAAGTACATATGAGTAATATTTAGTAATTTTTATACGACCGCAAAAATTTTTTGCGGTTGTATATTGGTATGACGTTGGCGTAGTCGTCGTTGTCCGAAGACACATTGGTTTTCGCATTCTAACTTCAGTTTAAGTTAATGGATCTCTATGAAATTTTACCATAAGGTTCAATACCACAAAAGGAAGGTTGGGATTGATTTTGGGGGTTATGGTACTAACAGTTAAGGAATTAGGGGCCAAAAATAAGCATTTTTGTAACTTCCAGACATAACTTGTGTGTTAGTGTATGGATCTCTCTGACATTGTACCACAAGGTTCCATATCACACAGGGAATGCTGGGATTGATTTTGGGGGTAATTTCTTCAAAATTTTAGGAATTGGGGGCCAAAAAAGGGGCAAAAAACAAGCATTTTTCTAGTTTCATGACAATAACTTGTGTGTAAGTGTATGGATCTTTCTGAAATTGTACTACAAGGTTCCATATCACAAAGGGAAAGCTGGGTTTGAGTATGGGGGTTATTGCCCGAAACCTTAAGAATTGGGGGCCAAAAAAGGGCCAAAAATAAGCATTTTTCTAGTTTCTAGAGAATAACTTGTGTTCAAGTGTATGGATCTCCCTAAATTGTACTGCGAGGTACCATACCACAAAGGGCAAAAAACAAGCATTTTTCTAGTTTCAGGACAATAACTTGTGTGTAAGTGTATGGATCTTTATGAAATTGTACTACAAGGTTCCATATCACAAAGGGAAAGCAGGGTTGGAGTTTGGGGGTAATTGCCCTAAATGTTTAGGAATTTGGGGCCAAAAAACGCATTTTTCTAGTTTCCAGACAATAACTTGTATTCAAGTGTATGGATCTCTCTGAAATTGTACTGCAGGTACCATACCACAAAGGGAAGGCTGGGATTGAGTTTGGGGGTATTGAATCATAAGGGGGTTCAAAAAATTGGGGGGGGGGGGGGTTTCCTTTTTTTTTTTCTTTAAAATTTTCCATTTTAAATATGTTATTTCTGATTTATATACAAAAGCAAATAATAATGATATGGTTTGAATAGGTAAATTAAAAAAAATTAAGTTCTTAGACCACATTCATTTTGTGTCAGAAACCTGTGCTGTGTCAAATATTTAATCACAATCCAAATTCAATGCTGTATCAAGCTTGAATGTTGTGTCCATACTTGCCCCAACTGTTCAGGGTTCGGCCTCTGGGGTCGTATCAAGCTGCGCCCAGCGGAGCATTTTATTTAATTTACTGTTAACAAAATCAATATTTATACCAATAAAAACAATATTCAAAGATTTACTTACAGTGTTAAATAGGTAACCTTTTAGAATAAGTTTATTTAAAGGATTGATAAGTATACCCAGATTGTATCTAAATTTCAGGGCTCTGTTAACATCACTGTAAAATTTAGGATGTGCTATTCTGTTTTCTACAGGTGCAGCCAAACTTGCAAACCGAATCTTTGTATCTATGGAGAAATTTCCTACCGAAGGTCGGTGGTTCTCTCCGGGCACTCCGGCTTCCTCCACCAATAAAAACTGACCGCCATGAAATAGCACAATAGTGTTGAAACTGGCATTTAACACCAATCAATCAATCAATCAGTCAATGTATCTATGGAAGGATTTAGTAAAGGTTTTAAGTAATTTGTGGTAACGAAATCCCTGACTTAATAATTTACTAGTAATACATAGATTACGCTCATTGCAATCCAAAATGTCACTACAGGCACTAGCATAGCGAACGAGTTGGGATATATAAACAGCGAAAGAAGGTGCCAAAGAAATATCACCGTCCCAAAAAGGAAAATTAATAATCGGGAAAGAAAATCATCCCTTTGTCGTAAATTTTTGTGTAGGGTTTCTGGTGTAATACTGAAATATCTAAATCTAGGAAAAGACAGTAATTTCTGTTAATATTTGATTTATTTAAAGTAAGTTCCTTTGGGTAAATTTCAGCAGTATATTTTGAGAATTTTTTATTATTTAATGAAAAAATATCATCAAGATAATGGTAAGTGTTGCAGAATTTATCAATTAAATAGAATTTAGATGGTTCTTTACTGAGTTTGGCCATAAACTGTGATTCATTACAGTATAGGAGCAAGTCTGCTATTAAAGGGGCACAATTGGTGCCCATAGGAATACCTACAACCTGCCAATAAACTTTTTTGCCGAAACGTGCATAAATGTTGTCAAGGAGAAAATTTAGGGTTTTAATCATCTCATCACACCTCCAGTAAGTATATCTACCATATTTACCTTTCTCATTTGAGAAAAAGGCTAAAGGCTTTATATGAGTGGCAGCAAATTAATTTGCAATCAGATTTATCAAACGACCATTTAATTAGTAATATTTAATAACATGTATGTTCAAGTTTTTATACACTGCAAATTTTTTGCGGCCATATAATGGTATAGCAAAGTCGCCATCGTCGACTGAAACATTTTGTCTCCAGACAATTACTTGAGTATAAGTGAATGGATCTCTATTAAATTGTACCACAAGGTTCCATGCTACAAAAGGAATGTTTGGATTGAATTTAGGGGTTATTGTCCTGTTTAGGAATTAGGGGCCAAAAAGGGCAAAAACAAGCATTTTTCTTGTTTCAGTACAATAACTTGTGTAAAGTGTATGGATCTCTATGAAATTTTACCACAGGGTTCCATACCTAGCAAGGAAGGTTGGGATTGATATTGGGGGTTATGGCCCAAACCGTTTAGGAATTGGAGGCCAAAAAGATTCCCTGACAATAACTTTAGTATAAGTCTAAGGATGAAATTGTACCACAAGGTTCCATACCAAAAAGGGAAGGTTGGGATAGATTTTGGGGGTTATGGCCTTGTGTAGGAATTAGGGGCAAAAAAGAATACTTTTTTAATACTCTGTATAAATGGTTTATTTCTTGACCAATTTCAAAGGGGTTTAATTCAAAGTCTTGAAATCTTAGGGTTCTTTAATATGCTGAATCTAACCGTGTATTTAGATTTTTGATTTTAGGCCCCGTTATCAAATTGGTCCACATTAAGTTCCAAAGGGTCAAAATTAAACTTCGCTTGTTTTAACAAAAATTGAGTTCTGGGGGTCCTTTAATATGCTAAATCTAATTTATTTAGGTTTTTATTATTGGGCCGTGTTTTCAAGTTGGTCCAAATTGGGGTCCAAAATTAAATTTTGTTTGATTTCAACAAAAAATGTATATACGGGGTTCTTGATATGCAGAATCCAACCGTGTATTTAGATTTGGGATTAGTTATCAAACTGGTCCACATAGAGACCCAAAGGGTCCAATATTTAAGACAGTGCAGGGCTATTTTGCCGGCACTGGCAAAATAGAAAATATGCTATTTTACCGGCACCGGCAATAAAGTGAATTTTGAGTTCTTTGTAAAGAGTGAAATTTAATATTTACTTTGGAAAAGTACTACGAAAATGTGCACTGTCAACATAAAAGAATTAAATAATTACTGATTTACCGGTAGTTAAATAACTTAAGAAAACAGCTAACAATATTTGAGATACATGTAATCGTTTAAAAACGTTTGTCAGTCAAAGTGAAAATAAGAATTTATAACAAGAAATAAAAATAAAAATATTGAGCATCCATTTGTTGCAATGAAATCATATCAAAACATGTGGTTGAAATGATTTTGAAATCAGTCACAGTCTAATGCTACACGTATGCATAAGAATAAAATCTCAGATTTTTTAACTGTATGTTATAAAAAATTAAATTTTAAAACCTCACATAAATTTGATAAAACATTATACAATATAACAAATCAATCACAAAGCTTCAAAAATAAAAATGTTTGAATTAAATTTGCTTTTGAAATATAATAGCGGACTTTTGAATTGCATATATGTAAACAAAATAGTTTTTAATTTGGCTTCCGCTTACCTAGAGCCGGCAAAATAGCATATTTTCTATTATTCCAGCGCCGGCAACAAATTCACTATATTGCCGGTGCCGGTAAAATAGCCATTTCTATAGAAATACATGTATGCTATTTTGCCGGCTTGAATTAAAATATTTT